GGGGGGGGGGGGGGGGGGCAGTTCTCACCTCCGGAGGTGCCGAGGGCCTGACGGCTTTGATGACGACAAGGACGGGCTCCCAGAGTGGTGCCTGGACGATGAGGATGAAGAAATGGGCACCTTCGATGCCTCTGGGGCCTTCTTGCCTCTCAAGGTATCTGTGAGGAGGCCAGGGGAAGATTATTAGTAGAGGTTGGTGGGAACCTGCCCTCTTACTCTCACCTGTTTATCTTCTGCCCCCTCACCTCCCATTGTATCCCCTAACCCCATGCAGAAGGGCCCCAAGGAGCCCATTCCTGAGGAGCAGGAGCTCGACTTCCAGGGTCTGGAGGAAGAGGAGGAAGAGCCTACTGAAGGGTTGGAGGAGGAGGGGCCAGAGGCAGGTAAGCCTGCAGGGTGCAGCAAGGAGAAGGCCTGAGAGCCTGGAGCTGGGACAGGCTGGCATAGGGATCCCTTAGGCTGGATACTGGCTGTCCACCCACCTTTAGGAGAAGGCTGTTTAGAAATGTGAGAAAGGCAGGTGCAGACATGTGTGGGGAGGAACCCGGAAATAGTAGGGCTGTGTCTTAAAGGCAGCATGTCACATAAAAATCAAGCATCATCAAAATGACCCTTGCCAATCCTTTGGAGTATTAAATCTATGGTATTGTGCATACAACCCTGGACAGTGCCGTGGACACAGTGTACCCGTGTCCAGTGTTGCAGGGGCAAATGAGGTGTGCAAAATGGGGTTTGTGGTGTTGAGTTACTGAATGTTAGTCGTGCTGACCAAAGTTAAGCAGGTAGACTCAGTACTCAATACAGGTGGGAGTCAGAGGCCCAAGATCTGGCCAGAAATGGAAGGTTTGTGCTAAATCATTTTAAAAGCCTTCCAGTTCTTTGGTTTTGAATTCTGGTAATTACCTTTCTCTTCAGGTGGGAAGGAACTGACTCCACTGCCACCTCCAGAGGAGAAGTCTAGCTCCCCATCCCCACTGGCTACCTTGGGCCCACTCTGGGGAGCTAATGGGGAAGGAGGTGACGCTGTGGAGAAAGACCTGCCAGTTGCTGAAGGTAGCCAGAGGGTGGGGCCACCCTTTCTCTGGAGCCAAGGGCTGGTGGGGAAAACACTCCCTTTCCTTGTGGAGCCCACAAGGGTCGATCCCTCTTTTTTGGAATAAGGATGGATAGGGGGCTGTCTCACCCCTCCTATGGACCTCTCCCCTGCCCCCGCCCCATTCCACCTTCCTTCTTTGCCCCTTCTAGGAGACGATTTGAGGGGAATGCAGCTAAGTCCTAGGGTGGGCTCACCCCCTGGCCCACCTGGAGATCTGGAAGATGATGAAGGCTTGAAGCACCTACAGCAGGTTGGGTGGGAGCGGGGGGCCTAAGAAGGTTCTAGGGGGTCTTCCCCTGTAGGGGGACAGAAAGCCATTGTTCTGTCTGTGCCTGCCTGGGTTCCAAGCTTTTGCCTATCCTGTTGTGTCCAGCTGACCCCATCCCGACCTTAGCCCCAGCCCCGTCCTACTATTGCTGTGATTGGGCAGTTGAGCTTTCCCTTTCTCCCTGGGCTCCCAGGAGGCAGAGAAGCTTGTGGCATCCCTACAGGACAGCTCTCTGGAGGAGGAGCAGTTCACGGCCGCCATGCAGGCCCAGGGCCTGCGCCACTCTGCAGCTGCCACTGCCCTCCCCCTCAGTCACGGTGCAGCCCGGAAGTGGTTCTACAAGGATCCACAGGGGGAGATCCAAGGTGGCTGTGGGGAGTAGGGGGCATGCAGGAGGGGCTGCTGGGGGCAGGGGCACACCACTATTCTCTTTCAGGGCTTCTCTGGCACACCTTTCTGATTGCCACCCCACCTCCATCCCCCTTCCCGGTCCAGGACCCTTCACAACACAGGAGATGGCGGAGTGGTTCCAAGCGGGCTACTTCTCCATGGCCCTGCTTGTAAAACGTGGCTGTGATGAGGGCTTTCAGCCACTGGGTGAGGTGATCAAGATGTGGGGTCGTGTGCCCTTTGCCCCAGGGCCCTCACCACCCCCACTGCTGGTGAGCATAGCCACCTTTGCAAGGAGCAGAGAGGGGAGGTGGGAGCCTGATGGACGTTAACAGGTGGTGTGGAGCACAACAAAGTTAAAGCTGTGGGAATACTTTTGCCCTCACTCAGGGAAACATGGACCAGGAGCGGCTGAAAAAGCAACAGGAGCTGGCAGCGGCAGCCTTGTACCAGCAGCTGCAGCACCAGCAATTTCTTCAACTGGTCAACAGGTACTGGAGCCTAGAAGAGCTTCTAAGTAGGGACAGACACTGGCTGTGTTGGCCTGCTCCCTCACGCCTGTCCTCTCCGCAGCCGCTCCCTCCAACAGTGTGGGCTCCGGGAAAAGGCAGCTCTGGGGGACCTGACGCCACCGCAGCAGCAGCAGCTCACCGCCTTCCTGCAGCAGCTCCAAGCTCTCAAACCCCCCAGGTCTGTTGGGCTGCTTTCTGTCAAATCAGTCTTCACTTGGCTGCATGCATGGATGAGCCCTCAGGATATGTATAGTGGGGCTATGGGGCAGTCCGGATATGGGTTCAGGGTGCTGAGAATCAGTGCTTTGCTCCTCAGAGGCGGGGATCAGAACCTGCTCCCGACGATGAACCGGTCCTTGTCGGTGCCAGATTCCAGTTCCCTCTGGGACATACATACCTCAGCCTCATCACAGTCAGGTGTGTGGCCAGCCCAGCTCAGTTGGGGGAGTAGGGAGACCAGGGGCTGCACCTACCCCTCAAGCTGCTTCAGCCCAGGGAGCCTGAGCTCCCTCCTGCAACTAACTGCCTTTGCCTCCTACAGGCGGTGAGGCCAGTCTTTGGGACATACCAATTAACTCTTCGACTCAGGGTCCAATTCTAGAACAACTCCAGCTGCAACATAAAGTGAGTAGGCATCCTGGGGCTGGAGTCCTTGGGTGTCAAGGGCTGGACTGAGGCAGGGAAAGCTAAGTACCCCCAGGTCTGACATGCAATCTTGACTGTCAGTTCCAAGAGCGCAGAGAAGTGGAGCTCAGGGCTAAGCGGGAGGAAGAGGAGCGAAAGCGCCGCGAGGAGAAGCGACGCCAGCAGCAGCAGCAGCAGGAGGAGCAGAAGCGGCGGCAGGAGGAAGAGGAGTTGTTTCGGCGCAAGCAGGTGGGTGCCCAGCTGAGCCCTCAGCCTGCTGGGTCCTGAGTTTGGTGGCAGGCTGCTGGCGCTCACTGTCTCTCCGGTGGTTCAGGTGCGGCAGCAGGAGCTACTGCTGAAGCTGCTGCAGCAGCAGCAGCAGCAGGCAGTGGCCTCCGTCCCAGTGCCCCCTGCACCCAGCTCCCCGCCCCCACTGTGGGCTGGCCTGGCCAAGCAAGGACTTTCCATGAAGACACTGCTTGAGCTGCAGTTGGAGGGCGAGCGACAGCTGCATAAGCAGCCTCCGCCTCGGGAGCCATCGCGGGCCCAGGCCCCCAACCACCGTGTGGTGAGCAGTCTGGGCCCTTCCCCCGGCTGACTTGTACCTTTTGGGCCCTCGGGAACCCTTCCAGCTAGCTCCCATAGCGACCAAGGGGTGGGGTGGGGATCATTGGTCCATGCCCCCCTTTGACACATAAATGAGTCTCCCCACTTAGCTTTCTTATGTGTGTCCCTGTTTGGGCCACCCTGACTTCCTGCCATCTGTAGCAGCTTGGGGGTCTGGGCACTGCCCCCCTGAACCAGTGGGTATCTGAGGCTGGGCCGCTGTGGGGCGGGCCCGACAAGAGTGGGGGCAGCAGCGGTGGCCTGGGGCTCTGGGAAGACACCCTCAAGAGCAGCGGGAGCCTGGCCCGCAGCCTGGGCCTGAAGAACAGCCGGAGCAGCCCTTCTCTCAGGTGGGTGCCAGGGCCTGCAGGGTCCAGGCTAGGGCCAGGATGGAAGGATGTAGAACACCGGAGCTGATCTCTTGCCTCTAATTCACCCTTGTCCCACTCAGTGACTCCTATAGCCACCTGTCAGGTCGGCCTGTGCGCAAAAAGACGGAGGAGGAAGAGAAGCTGCTGAAGCTGTTACAGGGCATCCCCAGGCCCCAGGATGGCTTCACTCAGTGGTGTGAGCAGATGCTACACACACTGAGCACCACGGGCAGCCTGGACGGTACGGGCGGCAGACTGGGGGAGGCTGGGCTGGCTCAGGGGTGTCAGACCTTCATCAGGTGGGCACTGACAGCCCCTATCCTGCCCCATAGTGCCCATGGCTGTAGCGATCCTCAAGGAGGTGGAATCCCCCTATGATGTCCACGATTATATCCGTTCCTGCCTGGGGGACACGCTGGAAGCCAAAGAATTTGCCAAACAATTCCTGGAGCGGAGGGCTAAGCAGAAAGCCAGCCAACAACGGCAGCAGCAGCAGGTGAGCTTTCACAGCCCCAGGCAGGTGAGGGTGACCTTAGGTGAGAGTGAGGTCACTGGACACCCTCCTGACTCCCCCTCCCTTTCTGCTGCCTGGCAGGAGGCTTGGCTGAGCAGTAGCTCCCTGCAGACAGCCTTTCAGACCAACCATAGCACCAAGCTTGGCCCTGGGGAGGGCAGCAAGGCCAAGAGGCGGGCACTGATGCTGCACTCGGACCCTAGCATCTTGGGTATGTTTTAGGGGTGGGGCCAGTTACGAGGCTCCTTCCACAGCATGGAGCAGGTGCCTGGGGGTGAAAGAGCTCAAACCCAGCTTCTTCTGGCTTCAGGGTACTCCCTGCACGGACCTTCTGGTGAGATTGAGAGCGTGGATGACTACTGACCAGCCCATCCCACCAGCCCCCTGGGCTGTAGGCCAGGAGAAGCAGCAGCAGCAGCTTGGACCCTTGGGTCCCCAGTCTGCAGGCTCCCAACAAGGAGCATAGGAGGAAGCAGGGGCAGGGTCCCCAGCACTTGTTACAAACCACACAATGCACCTTAACTCACCCACCACGAGGCACTTTACAGATTGGGGGGTTGTTTTTTTTTCCTTTTCTTTTTAAAAAATTTTAAACAACATTGAAGAAAATGTTAGGAGAGACAAAAAAAAAATGTTAAAAACTAGACTCTAAGCACCCCTTCTCCCTCTGAGGATTGTCGGGGTGACAGTGGAAGGTCCATGGAGTTTTGGGGTTGGTTTTTTTTTTTTAAGAAAAAAGAAAAACAATGAAAAAAAGGTTAGGAGGCTGAAAGAAAAAAAACACACTGTTAATTTGGGGCAGTGGGGACATGGCCCCACGGATCTGTCCTGCCTGGCCCCCAAGGCTGCACTTACCCTCCCTGCCCCGCCAGGTGGGCCACTGGGGTAACTGGAAGCTGGGGTGCCAGCAGTTTGCACAGCAAGGCCCCCTCAACCCCGCCAGCCGGACCTCTGTGAATGGCCCCCTTGTTGCTGTGACTGGCAGAGGTGTCTGGGGTTGGGGCCAAAGGAGCCCCTTGGCTTTGCTGCTTTGGGGGAAAGTTGCACAAATGGGCTGTGCCATCTCACCTCCCCAGGTGGCTGACGGGGTAGATGGCAGAGGGCCGGCCCGGTGCCAACCTCATCTGGCTGTCAGGGCAGCAGAACTTCCACTCTGGCCCTGGTGAGGGGCTTCCCCCTCCGCTGCCATTGGGGGGATGACCTGGGTGTGAAGCTGAAAGCCCCAGCTCCCTGCCTTGCCACATGAATGTATTCTTCGGGCCACAAGCCCCTGCTGCACCCTGCCTCAGCCTTGAGTGAGGTGGGGGCAGAGCAGTTCCTCCAGGAGCTGGAGAGAGGCACCACTTAATGACTGTTTCTCCTGTGAAGGGGGCTAGAGGAGAGGCCCAGGAGGCCAAGGGAGCGGGCAGCTTGGGGCTTCAGTTGCAGTGTGGGAGCTGTTAGAAGAGTCCCCCCACCTGCAGCCAGCTGGCTGTGTGGGATGTGGACCACCCAGCTCTGCCCTGACCCCTCCATTGACCAAATGGGACAGGAGTGGCCTCTCCCCTTCCTGCTCCTCTGATGAGTTTTTAATGTTGGGTAAGGTGGGGGTGGGGGGTCAAGACTAGAAGTGTCTGTCTCCTGAGTCGAGGAGGCAGTCCTTCTAGTGCTCACCGACTTATTCCCAATCACCTGCCTGGGTTTGTCTCCATTCCTGTTTTTTGTTGTTGTATCTTTTGGGTTTCTCATCTAACTTCTGTTGACCTCATTGCTCAGAGTGCAGTATTAGGGCAGGATTCTGCCACTGCCTCCCCTCCATGAATGTATTTATCCTTCCTGCCCTGGGGAAATGGGGAGTGGCCCCCGTTTTCTTTCCCCATCCATCCCTAGAGACCACATTTTTTGTTTTTGTGTTTTGTTTTGTTTTTTGTTTTTTTTTTTGGGTTTTTTTTTTGCACCAAAGTGGCAACTGGGTCAGTGTTTGGGGGATAAAGCTGGCCTTGGGGGGTGGAGGGACTCCCTCCACCTGCTTCTCCCTGGTTTCAACAGTGTTAGCATATGTGAAAAGACAATATTCTCTCTAAAGCAATAAGGGGATGATGGGCCAGGGGGAAATGACTTGCTGCTGCTGGCCCCCCAGCTCCCCCTTTCCTTGCGCCAGTATTTGGCGGCATTAGAGGTGTGGGGGGAGTACTGTTGTGACTGAATGTAACTGCCCCCACCCCTGCCGCAGCCAATGCAGGGGGAGGGGGGATGACACTCTTCCCCTCTCTTCCTTCCCCTTCCCCCCAGCTAAAGAGACTTTGAACTTAGGGGGCCCTTGAGCCTGGAGAGGCCTTAACCCTGTGAGGAAGTGTAGGGGGAGCCCTCTCCCACCCCATCCCCTTCTGAGAGTGGTCAATGTTTACAAGCCCCTGAGCCCCCCAGCCCAGGGACTCAGCCCCTATTGCTGTCCTTTCCCAGCCATCTTCCTGGGCCCCGGCTGCTCTCCCACCCTTCCCAGAGTTGGGGTGGGTGCAGGGGCCATTCTGTATCCCCTTGTTTGCCTTGTCCCTACAATCTCCACCCCATGACTTACCCTCCTACCTACCCCTGCCCCTGTAAATACGCCCCCCAATAAAACTTTGTGTGTGTTCCCTTTTGCTTTTGCATCTTTTCTTGGGGGGGGGGGCACAAAACTGGGAAGTCCAAGAGCTGCTGGCAGGGCAGTCATCCTGACCCAGCCAGACAAGAGAATGGTGGCTGTGTGTATTTAGGAAGAATACCTATGGCCCTATTGGGCAGAAGGTTCTTCTGCCTGTGACTCCAGCTTTGGTCTGAGGAAGAGTGTGATTTCCTCTCTGGCCCTCTACTTGGTGGGGCCCCCATATCCTCTAGCTGACCTGCCCTCCAGGACAGACCCCAAATTGAGAAAGAAAGGGAGAGACCAGGTACAGAGTTGGAATTGGTTCCTTTATGGAAAAACTGAAAATATAATAAAAATTAAAATTAAACCAGTTTTAAAAAATCCAGCCCCTGGAGTTTCTACCTCCTGCCTCTGGCCCTCCAGGGGGATGAGGCCCTGACTCCAGGGCAGCAAAAGGATGAGGGCTTTCTGCCCCTCCTCTTCCCCCCATTCTATTCCCATCTTTATCTCCACAGTGGGGACCCCTCCGGGAGGAACCAAACCTGGGTAGGGGAGCAGGGACCCAAGGCCCCATGGCCTGGGGAGGGAGGGTTGTATGCCCCCAGCCCCAAAGCTCCCGGCCTGTAGTGTGGGCATGGGCAGGGCCCCTCCTGGCCAGACCCAGTTGGGGTTGGGGCTATTAGTTCCAGATCTTGAGGAAGGAGTCCCAGGAGCCTGTGGCTACAGCCATGCCATCATCAGTGACCCCGAGGCAGCTCACGCGGTTGTCATGGCCAGCGAGGACACCTGTGAGGGAGGGGTACATCAGAACGCATCTGGTCTGGTTCTCTGTCCCCACCTGTCCCCGCTCAGCATCCAGCTCTCACCTGCACGGTCGCCCTTCATAGCATCCCAGATGTTGCAGTTGAAGTCATCATAGCCAGCGAGCAGCAGCCGGCCACTGCGCGAGAAGGCAACAGAGGTGATGCCACAGATGATGTTGTCGTGGGAATACATGAGGAGCTCCTGGTCAGCCCGCAGGTCAAAGAGGCGGCACGTGGCATCATCAGAGCCCGTGGTGAAGGCATAGCCGTTGGGAAAGAACTACAGGACATAGGACCAGAGTGGGATGAGGGCACTGAGCAGGGCCAGGAGCCTGGCAGACAAGGCCAGCCCAGCCAGCTTGCCCCAGAACTTACAGCCACAGCATTGATGTCAGATTCGTGGCCGATGAAGGTCTGTCGGCACATTGAATCTCGCACATCCCACAGCTTGATAGAGGCATCACAGGCACCTGACACAAAGGTGCGGCCATCGGGGGCCAGTGACAAGGACATCACATCCCCACTGTGTCCAGCAAAACCCACCGTCTGCTGGCCTGTCTCAATGTCCCACAGGGCACTGGAGAGGTGATAGAAAGAAATATGGGATCAGAGGGGTGCAGGACAGACCCCCTGGCTCCCTATTCCTCTACCATGTGAGCCCAGCCTTGACAGAGCCTCCATGGAAGGGGTGCCAGGAGCCACTAGGTCACAGAAGCCTACTCTTGTCCCCTCCCTTCCCGCCACAGGAGAGGGAGGCTAGTTCACAATGAGGGCTCTGTCCTCACTTGCTCAGGGTGTGTACTATGTGCTGAGCACTGAGGCAGTGGCCCACCAGGCAGGAAGTACGGGGTGAGCTACGACTGCCTAGCCCTGGCAGGACCTCACCAGGTGGTGTCCCCAGAGCTGGTGATGATTTGGTTGTCATCCAGGAAGCGGCAGCACGACAGGTACCCTGGGGAAAGGGGCTGGTCAGCCAGGTCTCTAAGGGAGGGCAACACAGCCCCTCACCCACCAACAGCACCTATGCCCTACCAGGCCCCTCTCACCAGTGTGGCCGGGCAGCTCTCGGCTGACCCTGACATTGCCCTCACGGGTCTTGAGGCTGTAGATGGAACAGATGTTGTCCAACCCCCCACAGGCCACAAAGTTTCCTGAGGGCGCGTAGGCACAGGTCATGACCCAGGAAGAGCGCAGCGGGATGGCATGGACCTAGGGAGGAGGGGCAGTATCCAGGGTCAGAGCCAGGTAGGTAGGGCCTGCATCCCAGCCACATCCAGCTTCAGGTACCACCTCTACCTTGTTGGTAGTATAGCTGTCCCAGATGATGAGCTTCCCATCCTGGGAGGCGCTGACCAGCAGCCTGTTGGAGAGTGGCAGGGGAGAGGCAGAGGGGTCAGGGTAAAGCCCCTTCTGGAGGAAGGATGCCCTTCCCAGTCTCCTATCTGGTGGGAAGCACTTCTGAGACAACAACTAACAGCAACTCACAAGTTCCTGTTAGTATGGTCCTGAGTCTCCATCTTGCCAAACATACTTGGCAACATGGGCATCCTGTTCATCCCCCAGATCTGCAAGGCTGCCCCTCCCAGTGCCCCCAACTCTACCTGCTTTACTTAGTCCTAAGGCAAACACCAGGGCTCAGCACCCAGCCCCAACCACACACACCCACCTTGAATCTGTCCCCCAATGCATGGCATAGATTTTTGCCAGGTGCCCACGGAGGGTCCTCCGTGTCCTCATCTGGATTCTCCCCACTGGGTCCAGCCCAGCTGTGATCTAGAGGTAGAGGGAGAATGGGTCAGGGAGGGTCAGGTGGCAGGGCCCATTAAGCAGTATGCCTCAGACCTGTGCCCCTTCCCTAAGCCCCAAGTCCGGCCCTGGATTCATCTCACCTGGGTCAGTGTTGAATCCCCACATGCTTTTCGGGCATCCTATAAGAGATGGCAGAGCCAGTCAGAAAGAGGCAGGAGAGAAAACCAGGAGAGGAAGAAGAAAGAACACAGGAGACAGAGAGGATAAGACAGTAAGTGGGGGTTAGGGTACCCCCCCTCCACACACACACACACACACACACACACACACACACACACACACACGCGCGCGCGCGCGAAGAACCCCTCCCCCTGTCCAGCACACACACAGATGCCTGGGCCCTGCCCACTCAGCCCTCCCAGCTCAGCCGACCAGGCCCTCACCCGGATCTGGTTCCGGAGCTGCTCAGCCTCCTGTCTCAGTTGCTCCAGCTCACTCATGGCGCCAGGCCCGTGGGGCGGGGTTGGGGGCGGCTGGGGGCCGCGGGACGGGGGCTGGGGGAGGCAGCTCCTCGCCGCTGGCCCGAGGCCTGGGGGATGCAGGGCTGACGTCAGGCCCAAGGTCGCGGGGAAGGGGGGAAAGGCGGGGTTGAAGCGCGGCCGGAAAGGGTGAATACAGGGTAGAGGGGGAAGGGGGCGGCTGCAGTGGCCGCAGCCCCTGTGCAGAGCCCAGGGCCTCTGGCACAGAAGGGATGGGGCCTAGGAATAGCTGACTTCCCCAATCTTCCTCCCGCCCCCCGGAAACGGAGCGGGAAGTGCAAGAGGAAGCGCAGGGGAAACCCCTCCCTCGGACAGCAGCCCGGGCGGGACACCCGCGACAGGAACTGGGGGGGCAAGAGGGCGGGGAGAGTCCCTTCGAAAACAGACCTGGCGTCCGCCCCTGCCCGCACAGGCACCGCCCTCATAGCGCCTCATTTTAAAAGGGGCGGTGCCTCTTTAAATTCACCCCCACTCGCCGCACACCCTCCACACACACCCCCAAGCTTAGACTCTGTGTGTGGGGGGTGACTAGAGGGGGAAGCTGGGATGTTCGTGGGGTTGCCTAGGCAACCGTCACCCGGACTGAGAGCACCTCATTGGTGAAGTGCCCCCACCCTAGCCCAGTTGCCAAGGCAACCGCATCCACTGCAGGGACCTGTCGGGTGGGTGACCCCACCCCCGGCCCCATCGCCCCCGCCCGACCCAGCCTCCCGCTCCTCCCCAGAACCGGGTGACTGTTTACAGGATTTGGGAAAAGCCGATTGGGCACTAATAGGTTCGGGACGGCTCACCCAGGATAATCCCCGGGCCGGCTGCACCCCATTAGCCGCCCGCGGCGGCGGGGAGGACAATCTCAAGCCGTCGCTCCCTCCAGAGCCGAGGCCTCTCGCCCCAGCGCGCCACAGAAAGCCCGTGGGAACCGCTCGCGAGTAGTTAGGGATCGGAAGAAAGGTTCCCAGCCCCAAGGCGCGGAGCTGCTCTCTCCCCGGCACCAGGGGGCAAGAGGCGGCCCCAGGCGGCCTAGCCCTGTGCCCTCTGCACCCCAGGAGCCCAGCCTGCGGGTTCGTCGCCGGGGCCCCAGGGGCCTGGCTGGCTCCATTCCAGGGCCCGGAGTTTTGCCCCGCCGCCTCTTGGACACCTGTGTGATCTGGCCATGCACACTGTACTCTGCCAACCTGGGCGTCCCCCACCCTGCTCCCACTTCCCCCAGGCCTGGGCGTTCCTCTTCCCTACGGACATTTCCCCTCTGTCAGTTCAGCTTTCTAAACCAGTGCCAGGGGATGCCCCTCCAAAAAAGCGGGGAGGGGGCAAAGCCTTCCACTCCACCTTCCCAGCTCCAGACAAAGCCCCTTCCTTCCAGCTGTCAGCAGTCCCGGCCGGGCGGCAACGCCAGAGGCCCGGGGTAGAAGGAAGCTGGGGGCGGGGGCGACGCTCCTCGCCCTCAGTCCCCCTCGCCCTCTGGGGCCCCCAGATTCTGGAGCCGGGGCTCCAAGGAGAAATGGGGGTGCCACCGCCTCCGCAGGTCTGGCAGGGCAAAGGGGAGGGGACAAGGGAGGGTCCTGGATCTGGCAGCTGGAAGGCGCGGACCGGTGCCGCGCTGCGAAGCGCAGTAAGCCTAGCTCTCCGGCCCCCACGACCTCCATTTTGCCCAAAAGAAAGCTAGACGGAGTTGGGGGCGCCCTGGAGCTAGACTTGGGGTTAGAACTGGTAAAGGGAATGGTGTGCCGAGGACTCCCGTCCAGGGTAATGGGGCCAGAAAACACGGGCAGAACCCAAATCAAAGGTAGGGTAGAGACGAAGGGAAGGATGGCCTCGCGGCCTTGCCTGCCTCTCTTGAGGATTCTGGAGTTTTGCAGGGCGAATGCTGGCTGGAGTGCGAAATGGAAAGACACGAGGGGTGCTACCCAGGGGCAAACCGGGGTGTGGGGGGGGAGTGGAACAGGGCCTAGCGAAAGCCCCGAATTTGCCCCCCAACTTCTCAGGGAGCAAGAGGCAGGCGGGGCCGGGATGGGGTCTGGGGTCAGGCAAAATGCGCCTGAAGGTGCAGGGAGCGCGTGCATTAATTGGGGATGAGGGTCCCCCAGTTCCCCTTCCGGGTTTAGAAGCGACGGGGCCGAAGGAAGGGAGGGGAGGTCTGGGCAGTTACGTCCGCTCCCAAGAGGCCAGATCGGGGAGACAGAAGAAAGAGAGGTTTCCCCTCATGGGAATTTGGGGATGGGGGCTAGGGGGCGATGAGGACTCCTTTTGTTACCGGAGGTACCTGTAGCGGTGGGACTCTGCGAAGGGTCGCTAAAAGAGCGCGGGAGGTCCTGTCTTCCTCCGCGGCGGAGGCGGCAGCGGCGGCGACGCGGATGGATTTCCTCAGTCACCCCAACTCAACCGTCCAGCGCTGCTCTCCCCAGAGCGGAGGGATCCCGCCCGCCAGTGACGCGGCCGTCGCCGCCGCGCCCAGGGCCCGGCAGGGCGAGACCAACTACTTAGTGGGGGGAGACCGGAAGGGAAAATACCACCTAATGGGCAAAGATTGTCTCTGTCAAAACGAAGATATTACTCCACACTATTTCGACGCAAAATGGACTAAAATTAATGCTTTGCTTCCCGAAAGGGAGTAAGACAGCCCCCCTGGGACTAACAAAGGTGGTATCAGCATAAGGGAGGGTGAAACACCTCGCTAGTCACGTGACCTACCCTCCCGGATTGGGTGGCTCCAGACTGGGACGGGAAGCTCAACGCCCCAGTTCTCGGTTTGACCACGCCCTCACCCTGGTGAGACCACGCCCTTCAGGGGGACGGCGCTAAAGAGATCCTGACCCCAGCAGGACTGGGCAGGTGGCCTCCAGGAGGCGGAGTGTGAGGGCTGCGTTTCTGAAAGTCCCTGAGCAGGAATGAATGGGGCCCACTGCAGGCCCTCAGGAACCTGGGAATTCCATAAAAAGGATCTTGCCCAGGCAGTTTCCCACCAAAAGTGAGATTTTATAGAACTCTTTACAGATCTGCATGACACTGTAATAATAATTTATATTTATTGAATTCTATACTTATTTAATCCTTATGGCAATACTATGAAGTTAAGTACTATCATTGTTCCCGTTTTATAGTAGTGGGAAGGATTCCTAGGGCAGAAGAGTAGAGATATGAACCAAGGCAGCTTTAGCGACTTTACTGTGCAATGATAACAATACTAGCCTCTTGATGAAACCCACTGTGGACCATCCCTGTAAAGGGATGAGAATGTAAGAAGTATAGGCCTGTTTCCACCTCTGTAAAATGGGAGTGTTGACCTGTTCTTCAGGTCACCTTGGATTGTTATGATTCCCCACGGATTGTAAAAATGCTTTGGAAAGTTCAAATCAGTGAATAACCTTCACTGAGTCCTCATGCAATTTAAAGTAAAGCATCAGAACAGATAATTTTCATTTAACCTCCATTAAAGCATTACAAATAGTTTCCAAAGCACGATTTTTTTAAAAGAAAGTAAGAAAAAATATTGTATGTCAACTGTAATAGAGAAATAAAACAAAAAAGACACTGAAAGTAAAAAAACAAAAACAAAAGAAGGGGCCAGCCGAGTGGTTCAGTTGGTTAGAGCTCAAGCTCTGAACAATAGGGTTGCTGGTTCGACTCACACATGGGCCAGTGAGCTGCACCTGAGCTGAGCTGCTGCTGAGCTGGTGAGAGCGCCAGCTCTTAACAACAAGGTTGCCGGTTGGACTCCTGCATGGGATGGTGGGCTGCGCCCCACCCCACTAGATTGAAAGCAGAGACTGGATTTGGAGCTGAGCTTTCGCCCTCCACAACTAAGATTGAAGGACAACAAATTGACTTGGAGCTGATGGGTCCTGGAAAAACACAATGTTCTTCTTCCCCAATTCCCCAATAAAATCTTTAAATAAAACAAAACAAACAAACAAAAAACATTCTTAGTTATGTACAAATTTCATTTATGTACACTTATCAACTCAGTGATATATTAGCAGTAGATAATAAATGTTAATTAGATTTTAAAACTTGGAAGGGACCTTATAGATAATTTACTTCTATTTCCCCTCAATCTACAGATGGGTAAAGTGACTTCCCTAAAGTCACTTAGAAAACTATCGGCCTAGGCCTAGAACCCAATTTTGTTCATCTCTATAGGGCATCAAACTGCTTCCTCTCATTTTGGTTTCTGTGCTAATATGCTTCCCTGTTTTAAGTCACCCAGCAAATATTTATCGGATCCCAATGTTCTATCAGGTACTGTCATAGGCACTGAGGATACAACCGTGAAACATGCACCCTGCTTTGCCTGCCGGGAGCTTACAGTTTACAGAGGAAACAGACGGTAGATGATTATTAAAATAACAATTAGCACTAGTGTCCTGAAAGTGTCACTTACGGAGAGCAGCACATCTGGGAGGGGACACATTTGGAGAGAAACATCAACAGTTTTAAGTTGGGATGTGTTAGGTTTGAGGTCCTGGGAGAGGTGCAAGGAAGAATGCTCAGTAGGTGGCTGTCCAACTAGGTCTGGGGCTCAGCAGGAGTCTGGGTTGGATTAGAGCCTTGAGAGTGAGTGGCATTTTCAAGCAGATGACGTCATACAGAGTTTCAGGGAAAAGACAAGATGGCCTAAGACCAAGCCCTGAGGAGCTCCTCCAACATTTAGAGGTCAAGCAGAGGCAGACAAGCTGCCAAAGGAGAAGCCAGAGAGCTAAGAAGAAAATCAGGAGAATGTGGAGTTCTGGAATCCAAAAGAAAAGAATGTTCCAAAAAGTGAATGGTAAACTGTATTGAATGCTGCAGAGAGATGAAGCAAGACTGGACTGAAAAGTGCGCATAGGATTGAGTAACGTGGAGGCCACTGGTGACTTTGCTGGAACATTTACAATGGATGCTCTGCTTGCAGTGGGCTGAGGGTGAGTGAGAAATGAGGCAGTGGAGACAAAGTGGCTAAGGCTTTGGGAATCTTGACTTGGAGCAGGTGTAGAAACAGGGGGCATCAGTGGAAGGAGAATGTGGTATTATTATATTTGTTTTAGATGGGAGCTACTGGAGTTTGTTTAGATGATAATGGGAAGGACAGGTGGTGGGGGGCGGGCGGGGGGAGAGGTGAAGGATATGGACAGGTAGGCGATGACCAGTGGATGACCAATTTCTCCAGAAGCCTTGGAGCACATGTGGAGAACCTGGTTCTGACAGGTAGTGGGACACTTCCTCCTTCCTCTGGCTGTTCTTTCTCAGGCTCCTCCTTGACCTTCTCCTCAGGGCATTCTGTAAACATTGTTTTCCCCAGGATCCTAACTTCAGCCTCCTCTTCTCACTCTCCACGTTATTCACTGGTGACTTCATCCATTACTATGACTTTAACTACCCCCTAATTGTTCATAACTCTCAAACCTCTATCTTCAGCCCAGATGTCTTTCCCCATGTGCAGACTTGGTGTATGTCCAACTGCAGACTAAATATCTCAATCTGGATGCTCATGGACAGTGGTGTGCTGGAGTCAGCTTGTGCCAGCTCAGACCAGCTCACAAGAGTCCATTGTGTACCTCTCTTCCCCACTCCTTGTTCAGTGAAGTCATATAGACAGTAGTAACTTGTAATTATCATGGTGGGTGTATTTACATCATAGAAATTGGCAAGTGTTTCAGATCAGGGCTTCCCTTTCCCAAAGAACTAGTTGTTAAAACATTTACTACACACCACTGTTCTCAGACATTTCACACTCAACATATTCAAAACTAAATTAATCTTCTACTCCAGCTCACTCTACCCAACCCTACACCGTTTCTGTATCTCTTGGCCTAATAAACCACTCACCCAGGAGCTTCTCACTTCCTCATTGAGCATAGTCAAAGGATGGTTAACTAATTAATATAGTCCAAGCTGCTATAACAAAGAGTCCCAAAAATTCAATGGCTTAAGTGATAACCCCAAAATAGATCCTCCAGGTCTGTGGGGGGCATTTCTGCCATTCTCAGCATGTAGCTTCCATCTCTGTGTCCAATGTGGCACAGGCAGCTTCCACTATTATGTCTGAATCTCATCCATTGAGAAGGTGGTTGGGGTGGGAAGCACAAATGTGTTCCTGTTTAAGGACACAACTAACTTCTGCTCAGAAGTTGGCCAGATGCAAGGAAGGCTGGAAAATGTAGTCTGTAGTCATATGCCCAGCTAAACCATTACTAAGAATGAAAGAAGGGAGATGGCTATTGATGTAAAGCTAGCAGTCTATGTCACTGGTAGATACATCTTGTCAATGCTGCCTCTTGTGTATTGCTTAAATCCATCCCTTCTTCTGTATACCAACTCCTATTACCTTGATTCTTGCCTATTTCCTGGCTTCTAGGATAGTCCCTCTCTAATCAACCTACCAAATAGCTGCCAGAGATATCTTTCTAAAATGCAAATTGGATCATATAACTTTGCCGTTCAAAACCATGCAGTAGTTACTCATCAATTCCATGACAAGTGTCAAACTTCTTTGCATGACACACAGGCTGGGTCTTGTCCCCTCTACTCAAAATGCCTTCCACCCTCACTCCAACTCTACTTCCTTGTCAACCATGAAAATTCAGGTCATTTTCTCAGGCTTAGTTTCCATATTGTCTCCCTGACCACACTGTTGTTTGTGCCCCACTGCAATGCTGGCTCCATTCCTATTGCAACCTTACTGGACTGTTTATTTCTGGGCACTCACCACCTGTACGAGGCTAGGGGTTCCCTGCGAAGCCAAAGTACTTGGTTTATCTGGCAGAGGGCTGGGGGAGAGCTCACCACACAATGAGCAGACCCTCACAAGATGCCAAATCATTTCCAAAGTGTGAGGTTTGAAGGTCCTGGCCCTACCACCTTTGACGTCATTACCAGGTGTACAGGTTTGGCCAATCTGAATGTGGGCCTGGAATGTGAGAACTTCCTGATGACTTTATTGAATTGTTTAATCACTATCTTCCAGGATAGACATTAAACCCGACAAGAGTTGCATCAAATTATATGAGCCATTTTATTCCCAATGTCTATCAGGCACATAGAGAACATCTATGAAATAAATGTAAGCATGGCAACATTTCCCCCAGGATCAATACTTTTCACAGTTCAAATATCAGCTGTCACTTACCAGCTGAGTGATCTTGGGCAAATCGCTTAACCTCTCCATGCCTCTGTTTCCCCTGCAAAATGGGAATAATAATCGGGTCATTATGAGGACTAAATTACTTGAAGTTTGTAAAGCATTTATAACAGTGCCTGGCACATAGTAGATGCTTTGTGTTGGCTAAATAAAAATAGAGTTCAGGCATGAACAAGTTGGTCTTTGACTACTTTTCCAGTTTCATTTCGCCGACAGTTGTCTCTGCCACCAGTTCCTTCTAGACTGAGCTCCTAACAATTTCCACATATGCCAGAAATGTTCATTTCTCTAGACCTTTGCACATGTTGTTTTCTGTGTGGAAGACCTTTCCC